CCAGAAGCTCAAATGGAACCTTGGTATAAGGACACTTCTTCAGCAGATAAAAAGTGAGGGAGTTTTGACCAACAACAAGGTTGGCACAGCAGCCATACTTCTCATGATGAAGTATTAGAAGGAAGATGAAGACTCCCTCTTTGTCTTAGCAGATGTAAGCTTCTTTCATACAGCTCTATGTTTAATGTTGTTGCTTGCTGTCCTGTTATATTTTTTTATTTGTTACATAAAATGTCTTGGTCCTTTTTCTGGCAGGAAACATCTACCAGGATGTCCCTTAAAGCAGAGAGCAACCTGCCCATCACCCCAAGGCTGATTATGCTTGGTAAGAAGTCATTCATGAAATAGAGCTGATTAGACCATATTACAATATCTATTTGGCACAGGAGCTTTTCGTGGACACAGGTATCTCTGTTTTGTTAGCTCAAATTTCTGTAATTTCCTTTATAAACCAAGGTTGTTGGACATGTGTCTCAGTGAATCCAGCAAAGTAACAATATCAAATTTCACATTACATATTACTGATCAACATAGTAGTCTAGCTACACCAACAGCAGAAATACTGAAGTCAATACTGTAAAGTTTAACAGCAGCACAAACTATAAACTCCAAAATAACCATACAGTTGATTCATCTCCGGTAATTTAAATGGGCTGACTGTTTGTTAGGTGTGTTTAATGTGCAGAATAATTCCCAATTATGTACAATTATAATATGTTAAAATGGACTTATGTACATAAGGCCATTAATAATTAACTGTATGTAGCTATTTGCTTTATGACTATCTAGACAGTGTGAAGAAGTGAAGTACTGAAATTATTTTATGTTGCATAATTACAACATGTTGCCCCTATACATTTAAGGACAAAGTTCAATGACCACCACCTGCTGGATGGTGAATGTAGAGGGGTGTGTAATTGTTGAGCTGGACAAAGAGAACACCTTTGCTGATGCAATGTCAGTCTTCTTTGGTTCATTCTATGTATTGAACCTGGAATACCAGGAGTCAGCGTGTGCAAGGTTTTTTTGTAAGGATAAACCGTGAAGAGGGAACAAAATGTACCTCCAAGGTTGGGACGAGCAGAAAGACTGGGACCACTGTGAAGCGAAAGGTTGTTCACATTAACCCTCATGTCACAACTTTCCTCTAGTGGCTTACTGAATTTGAGTGGAGAACTTCAAATTATGTAACTGTTTTTGCCATTTTAGTGAATTTCTTGTATAATTTAAGTGACCAATGTACCTGTGTCTCCACAGATGATCCATGGCCCATGCTTTCTGGACATTTACACAAGACGAACAACAATGAAGACAAGCTCTCTTGCCACTCTTGCAAGACTCTGTCCAATAGGTTTTTTGAGTGCAACAGTTTTGATTTTTTTTTCCTTCTTTTACCCGTTTGTTAAAAATTATTTCAGCTACTTACACTTTAATTGTCACATGTATTGGCTCACCTTACAAATCAATGAACTCAGTCCACAAAGCAAGATCAGGGTTCAGTGCAGGTCAGTCAAGTTCCTTC